TGGCTAGCGAACCCGTTCAGTTTTTTTGCCCATGTCATGAAACTCGTGTTCAACGGATGATTGTTGGGTTAGGTTATGAACAAGTGCAGTCGATCTTGGCCGAGCAAGGCAAAATTGAGGTGCGTTGCGAGCAGTGCGGTAAACAGTATAGCTTTACCGATTCGTGCGTGCAAAGTTGGTTTACTAAGCCTGACGGTCATACGTTACACTAAAGAAATACGGATTCATTTGATTTGATGACAAATTTTGCAACCGGGTGAACCTCGAAATGATAGGAGACGCCTTCATTGCTACACGCTGTTTTCCTTGAACTTTGTTTGTAAATGGAATGAATCAGAGTTTCTAACTGAGGAAAAAATAAGTATCTGTGTTTTGGTGTTTTTGCAATTTTTCTCCACAGACAGGCATCAGAGGGATGGTGCGTTATTGGGAAACCTAATGTTAGTGGGGCGATTGAATGGAGAGCAAAAACAGTAGTGATTGGTGGATTTTAGGTATATACTACACCTTAAAACGGACGTGATTTTGACGTGCATCATGGATACGGGAATAGGAGCAAGTATGAAAGCAAGTGATATATTGAACCTAAAAGGGGTGTTGTTATTTACTATTCAACCTGAGTTGAGTTTGCAGGAGGCTATTGATATTATGCATCAAAACGATGTTGGTTCGTTGGTGGTGTTAGAGCAAGGTCGTTTTGTGGGTATGTTGACTTTCCGCGAAATGATGCGAGCGATCTCTCAGTACAAAGCAAGATACAGTAGTTTTAAAGTCAGGGATGTGATGAATGTTAATGTTCCCATCGCGACATTAGACGATGAGGTCAAACCTTTAAGCGTCTTAATGGTTGAAAAACATTGTCGTTATATGCCTGTTTTTGATAAAGATGTTTTGATGGGAGTGATTTCCCTTTATGACATTGCTAAAGCAATTTTGGACGAGCAAGAACAAGAAAATACCATGTTACGTGCTTATATTCATGATGGTAGCGCTGTGACCATGAGCTGAGTGACTTTTTATTTTGACAGTGGATTGAGAAGCTTTCTGTACGGGCTTAGAACTGTAAAAAACCGCATTTTGCAAAGCAAGATGCGGTTTAATTTTGCCTAATTTTTGAGGTCTCGTTTACAATATCTCTTTTACAAAACCAATTAGGATTGATCAACATGACACATACCTTACCCATCGCAAAAGTTCTCCATGGTAATGACGTGAATTTGTTACCACAAATGGGCAATCGTCACGGTTTGATTACAGGGGCGACTGGTACTGGGAAAACCGTGAGCCTTCAAAAACTAGCTGAACAGTTTTCAAGCATTGGCGTGCCTGTTTTTATGGCTGATGTGAAAGGGGACCTAAGCGGCATTGCCAACCCTGGTCAATTAAGTGAAAAAATGCAAAAGCGTATAGAAATGCTTGAGATTGCAGTACCAGAATGGCGTGGTTATCCGGTGACCTTTTGGGACGTATTTGGTGAAAATGGCCACCCTGTCCGAGCAACGATTTCAGACTTAGGCCCTTTATTGATGAGTCGCTTGTTAAATTTAAATGACACCCAAGCGGGTGTGATGCAAATTGTATTTAAATTTTCTGATGATGCGGGGCAATTACTATTAGATCTCAAGGATTTAAGGGCAATGTTGCAATTTGTTGCTGACAATGCGGCCAGCTTAAAAACATCGTATGGCAACGTTGCACCGGCCTCTGTAGGTGCAATTCAACGAGGTTTGTTGGCTCTGGAGGAGCAGGGAGGGACGCAGTTTTTTGGTGAACCGATGCTAAATATTGAAGATTTTATGCAAACTGATAGCCATGGTCTGGGTATGATCAATATTTTAGCTGCTGAAAAATTGTTGTTAGCACCGCGTATTTATGCCGTCTTTTTATTGTGGATGTTATCTGAACTCTTTGAAAATCTTCCAGAAGTTGGTGATCTTGAAAAGCCTAAAATGGTGTTTTTCTTTGATGAGGCTCATTTGTTGTTTGATGAGGCTCCTAAAGTGTTACTTGATAAAATTGAACAAGTGGTTCGTTTAATTCGTTCCAAAGGTGTCGGTGTTTATTTTGTGTCACAAAATCCGATTGATATTCCTGATACAGTGTTAGGACAATTAGGTAATCGGATACAGCACGCTTTAAGAGCTTTTTCACCACGAGATCAAAAAGCCGTCAAAGTTGCCGCTGAAACTATGATGGCGAACCCCAAGATCGATACGGAAACTGCTATTACTGAACTTGGCGTTGGCGAGGCGCTTATTTCATTATTAGATGAAAAGGGTCGGCCGACGCCCGTTGAGCGAGCTTTTGTCTTGCCGCCGACGAGTCAAATTGGACCAATTACAGCTGCAGAGCGCCAAGCGATCATGAAAAGCTCTTTGGTAGCGGGAGTCTATGATCAAACTGTGGATCGAGAATCGGCCTATGAAGTCTTAAAAGCAAGGGCTGCACAAGAGGATCAAGGTGCACCTAGTGCCAAAGAGGTGATCGCACCACCACCAGCGGCAGCTGCAACGACATCAATTTTTGGTAGTATTTTTGGTGGAGATGATGCTAAAGAAACCAAAAAAGCACCGAGCAGGCAATCTGATACGTTATTTGAAGCAACAGCTAAGTCTGTATTGCGCAGTGTTGGGACGCAGCTTGGCAAACAAATTGTTCGTGGTGTGTTAGGGAGTATCATGGGAGGGCGACGCTAAAAAAACGCAGATTATTCGATTCTGGGAGCAAAGCTCGGTGTCAGCTATGAGATAGCTGATTTTGTCTTGAAAGTTAAGTGCTCAAAAACAATGCGGACACCCCCTTAGGTCTACCCTAGAGTAGATCTTAAGGGGTGGTATTTTATCGTCTCATGATTTATTAAATGAATTGGTATCTTTTTTCTCATCTTTTTGTGCTGACGTTGCCAATGCTGTGGCCTGTTTTTTAACGGAGTCGGGTAAGAAACGCATAATCATATTCACCGCCAAGCCAGCGATGGCAATATCATCTAATTGTCCCATACCTAAAAACCAATCAGGGGCAATATCAAAAGGTGAAATGATATAAAGTAAGGTGCCAAAAATAGCAAAGTTTAGCCATTTGGGACTGCCAGGGACTTTTCTAGCATACCAAATAATCCAAATGTCTTTACGAATGAGCCGATAGATCGCTATCAATTTTTTAAACATTTTCAAAATTAAAGTGTTAGGGTTGGTTAATGGGATAAATATGGGGCGTAAAAATCGATTATCAAGCATCGATTATTCAAACGTTTAATTATACGCTTTCGATGACAAATAACTTTTTTCTAATAATTGTGTTCTAAATTATCTCGCGATCCGTTATACCTTCACTGGTCGATTTATTTCATTGGGGTTTTCTTATGCATTTGCAACGACGTTCTTATTCTACACCTACTTCGTTTTTACTTTTCGCTTTATCCCTGAGTTTTGCGTCTGTGGTTGCGTGCGCAAATCCAACGCCTGAAGATCTCACGCGACAACTCTACGATAAAGAGTTAGATGCAGCTAAAGTTATGCCTGCTAACTCACCGAATAGCTCTGGCACAATGCCTGCACTACCCCCGATTGATGCTCAGGATGTGTCTGATTTTAAAGAGATTTTTAAGCCTATTGTGACTAAGGCGATGCAAAACCCTGAAATGATGGAGGCTGCGAGAGATTGGTTGGGTTTGCCTGTACCACAAGCAATGATTGATTCGGCCAAAAGTAAGCAGGCAGATCCCAACAATGAGGCTAATGATGTGCCTATGACCGATCAAATCAAAAGAAAATCCAAATCGATATTTTCTAGGGTATTTAATGCTAAGGGGGTTTTGCAAAGTTATCGTATTGTTTCAACAGTCCCTGATGGCAATACTCAAGTCGTATTAGTGCGTGTGACCAGATTAGTTGAGCAAAAACCGTTAGTTGTCTACGAAGTGGTGCCGTTTGAGAAGAATAATAATGGAGTTTGGCAAACCACACAGAACTAGTTATCCAGACGATATAAACGAACCAGTGTTAAAAAAATCATTTAATGAATGAATTTAAAAATATTTTATGGCAAAATGTCTTACTTGGCTCAAGTCGTTTATCAACGAGTGGCAATTAATTGATGTGTTGTAACCTATGAAGTTTGGGGTAATGATATGAATATTCAGCAGTTAAGATTTGTACGTGAAGTTATTCGTCAAAATTTTAATCTGACCGAGGCACGCTTATGCAAACCTTTTTTACCGATCGTGACATAATAAGCATTCGTCAGAACTGGCATTTGCTTGATGTTTTCAAACACCATGACCCGAGCATTGCTAGCATCAACCACCAAAGCAGTTTTGACCGTGTTCGCCATGCGCAAGATCACATCTGGAAGTTTGTCCATCGGCAATGTCTGTTTGGCAATTTGAACTCTTTTTTGTGCTTCTCGACGCAAATAATTGATTTTTTGAGTGACTTCCTCAGAACTCGTGACCACTCCTCCCCCTAATTGGCTAACAGGTTTGCTTTTTGTGACGAGTAAGTCGCCCCGAATCAAATACGCCAGCTTAAAATAGGGATAATCATTAATGATTTCGTTGACTAAACGTAATGACTCCCTTTGATCACCCGACGCCATAACATCATATAGTTTGAGCAAACGAACATTAAGCTCATTGGATGGACGAGCTTGTTGCCAATTGGGTGCTTTTTTTTCTTGGGTCAAAGCCACTCCTGAAATAGGAGTGACAGCAGTCGATTTAGTGATGGTTTCTTGTGGTGTGTCCTTTGAAAGGGATGTCTTTCTGACCATTGCCCAAATGGCAACACATAAAACCACACCAGCAACAACCCAAAAAATCTTCGCGTTACGAGAAAGAGTCATGCAAATGCGTATATATATACCGTTGATTAACTATAAAAAGCCCGATGAAACACCATCGGAGGCGAGCACTAACAGGCTATGATTTAGTTTGCTCGTTCCTCAACGATCTGCCAATTACCACCATTATTCTCTAAAACCAATGTTTTACGAGTCGTTGACGAAAAAGAAGGGGAACGATAACCTTGACTAAAACTCACGATCGCCCGATTGCCTTGCATTTTGACTTTAGGTTCATAAACCGTTACAGTAATTTTTGATTTTCCAGCGATCCGTGCTCGACGCTCAGCTTCCCATGCACCTCGGTTACCGCCTGGCACTCTAAAATTTGGAGCATAATAGCTCAAATATTGAGCGACGTTTTGTTCGCTCCAAGCATTAGCCCATGCCTTAACCGATCCAAGGGGGGAACCTGCGCCACCTGCAGCCACATTCGAAGAAATCGGCAACTCTGGGGCACCCACATTTGCCACAGGCGTTTGATCGATCGCTTGTGGCGTTTCCATTCTTGGCGCCTGATCAGCGGGCGGCATAGGCATGGGCATAGGTGCTTGTGGTGCGACATTACTACCCGTTCCAGGTTTAGTCATTTGATTGAGTAACATCAATTTAGAACGTACAGCAGGATTGCCATTGTCAATTTGCAAGGCTTTTTCGTAAGATTGTCCTGCTAATTTCGTGTAAACGTCACCTAAATTATCATGGGCAGTAGCGTAAGTCGGATTAGTTCGAATCGCCATTTCAAGCTTGATACGAGCTTGATCATAATTTCCTTTTGCAGCATACAAAACTGCCAAATTATTATAAGGTTCGGGAAGCTCCGGAAACTCAGTAGCAAGACTTTCAAAAACCGCAATAGCATCATCAGCACGCCCCATAGATGACAAGATCACACCTTGAGTAAAACGCAACTGCGGATCACGCGAGTTGGATTGCAAAACACCTTCCACGAGCTGCAATGCCTCAGCCTGGCGTCCGCTAGCCATCATTTGGTTGGCCTGAGACAGAACCGAACCCAAATCCTGTTGCGCATTCACCCATCCAGTTCCAACAATTAAAGCACCTGCAAGAACACCTACAGCAAGCCATTTTGGCACATCGAAACGGTTGGTAGCTGCCTGGTGAATTTGTGCAATATTCTTTTGCTTCATATTGAATCCCTTAATGTCCTGAAACGCTCAATTTAATTTTGTGAAAGACGCACGAAACCTTAAAGCATCCTAAAGGCTCACACGTAGAATATCGACCCGTTGTATAATTTGCACCATCGATATTTTAACGAACTGGTAATTTTACTGGATTTTGACAAAAATTACCACCATACTCACCTTACTAAGCGTTATTTTTGTGTTTTTTCGGATTATTAATCAACATTCTGATCAGATCTAAGCGACAACCTTGACGACCGCTTGCCTCATCGCAACCTTATATCAACATGCAAAACCAATTAATTATTTTCAATACGTTATCACGAAACAAAGAGGTATTTAAGCCAATCGATCCTCAACATGTTCGTATGTATGTTTGTGGCATGACTGTTTATGATTATTGTCACGTTGGTCATGCCCGTGTTATGGTGGTTTTTGACGTGGTTTATCGCTGGCTAAAGTCATTGGGTTATTCCGTTACCTATGTTCGTAATATTACGGATATTGACGACAAAATTATCCACCGCGCGCTTGAACGTCAGCAACCTATCCATGAGTTAACTAATGAGTTTATTGCTTACATGAATGAGGACTCAAAAGCTCTAAATATCTCCCCTCCCGATCACGAACCCCGCGCAACGGACTATATCCCTCAGATGCAAGATATGATTACTCGTTTAACCGATAAGGGGTTTGCCTACCGCAGCCAGACAGGTGATGTGAATTTCGCTGTACGCCAATGTGAGCATTACGGCGAACTTTCTGGCAAAAACATTGATGACTTAAGGGCTGGTGAGCGAGTAAACATCAACGAAGACAAGCGTGATCCACTGGATTTTGTACTCTGGAAACAAGCCAAAGCTGGTGAGCCTGCTGATGCTATTTGGCCATCTCCTTGGGGACCAGGGCGACCTGGTTGGCATATTGAGTGTTCGGCAATGT